ACACACACACACACACACACACACACACACACACACACACACACACACACTTAAACTCACCTGCACTAAGGACTTCTCAATTGTCATGAACATTTCCACATTTCGGTCCATCCTTGATGGATTCTGGAAGTCAAACCTGCGCCTACCAGGAAATTAGACTGGAGTTACACATGAAACAGCAAGGTAGCCCTAATCCAATCAAGCACCATCTCTTTAGACTTTAAACACTTTTCCCATGAGATGCTCAATTCTCAAAAAAACCAAGGTCAACTGGAATGAAAGTCTTACCATCCTTGATCACTTTTGAACTTGTAGGCAGCAGCCAGAATGTGGCAGAGAGCCCCTCCTGACTTGAAGTCTAGAAAACACTTCATCTGCAGGCAGAAAACAGGAAAGCCTCAGAACAACCTGCCTGAGAAGGAACGTGTTTACAGACGGAGCAGGAAGCCACATACCGGCAGCTTTGTGAGGGGAGGGTTGCTGACGTGCCTGCCGAACACCTCCTCCTGGAACTGCAGCAGCTGGACCACCAGGCTGGAAAGGGATTTGTTGGTGGGGGGCTCAGCCTGGATGTACTAAATGAAACAAGAGGGTCAAAGTAAACGCGTGTGTTTGGTCTGAAGCGTTATATTACTTTCACTGTATTATCTTTATTTTCACTTTTATCAGTGAAAGTGTAAACATTTGAATTACGTGCTTCCACAAGTGCTGCTTCACCTTCTTAGTGTAAATAATGCAAATGACATAATATTTATATAGGCCAGCTTAATATATATACTTTTCACATCACTTGAATTTCCTGTTCTGCATTATTTTCTATTTATTCTCATCAACTGTACAAACATTACTCATTACATCTTAATAATTTGTACTTGTGTTTTGTTTGTTTTTCTTTGAACACTACTTATAGCTGTAATCATGCAATTTGTAATCACTTACTAAACAGACACATTAATTATGTATGTTTTATATTTAGATTTGTTTTCTGTTGTTAGGCGTGCTTGGGAATAAAACTCCCTGACCTCTCATGTGATGGACAYTGAGGGGATGATTTAACCAATAACCCACTTCGTATTGATTGTAGGTGACCTTTTTATTTTCTTGTGTTATATATTTTGTTAAATATCCGTGCATACASGCCAAAGGCTGTTCCATGATGTTAAACATCGCCCTCCGTCTTCAGTGCCAGAGGCGCCATAGAGCCAACATCTGGATGTGGGCTGCTCACCGTTAGCCGATTAGCTTAGCTACTCCGCCCTCTCTGCTTTGCTAAAGTCACCCCCTTCTCCCCCAAAAAACTAATTTTTTTCAGGTCTGTTTGTGTTCTAATTTCGGATAGGTTCAGCTACAAAGACACGCACAGACGCCGTCTTTAGCAGCCGCATCTGGTGCAGCCTTTTGGCTCAGCATCCTTTTTGGTGAATCAAACAGCTGGACGCTCAGCAGCACCCTCCCTCCTCTCTTTGTCACTGCCTCTGCCCGATAGGTAAAGCGCCTACGTTTCGGAGCGGAAAACTAAAGCTCCCCTGATGCATGCTTACAAAACATGCGCTCAGTACCTTTTTGTAATTCTTTCCCAGCCAGACGCGGACATTATCAAACTGCGAAACGGTGTCAGACGCTTCGAAATATTTTACATTCGGGCCGCCGTCTTTCTTCCGCACCGCCATCTTTGCCTGCAGAGAGTCGACGTCGGCTGGCTGCCTCCTAGCGGTCAGACTGCGCTACTGCAGCGGACAATGGCGCTGTGATGACAGCATGTGACCGGCAGGGGGAAGAGTTGTGCAAATTATGATTTTTTTTTTTTTTAAATCTTCCAACATTAGCTGAAAAAAGCTTCGTCCTGTTGGAGATTAAATACTTAGATAAGGCTTCGTTGAAAAGTTTTTATGGTGTGTAAAACGTGATTTAAAAAACCTGCTAGTTCATACAAGATAAAAGGCAATAAAAATTAGACTAAAATAAAAATAAAATGTCAATATCAATGCAAAAATGCTCAATAAACTTTAGTTAATTTTTTGAGTATATGTATTTGGTTATTTAGCATCAATCCACCTACTTTATGTAATAAAAAATAGGAATTAGAAGAGTCTCTCTACACAATACACATACTGTATTTTTCAATGTGGACATTCTAATAAGACTAAAGGAAGAACAGTTCTTTATGTCTTTTCTGAAAAGGAAAATGAAATTAGTCATTCCATGCAGGTCCAATGTTCATTTTTATATATTTGTTCAAACATTGTTAGCTGAGGATCAAGTATTAAATGCCTAAATCTTTTTTTTATTAATAATAACCTAATTCAGTCTGAACCTAACTTAAAAAAACAAAAAACAGTTAAAGTAATGTAAATGACAAAACCTGAGACCCTCACTTTTAAAATGATTAAAATGTTTGTTTTTATGCTTGATGACCTTGACCTGGCTGTATAGCTGCTTGTTTGGACATTTAAATCTTCCTCAGAGTGTCAAAGACAACAAAACACCAGGTTGGACCGCGAAAAAAAATATATAAATTTTTTAAAAACTGCAGCTGCATTATGATTTTTTATGTATGCATATATTGATATGAACTCTGCTTTACATAAAAAAAATTTTAAGTTACATTATAGGAAACACATAAAACATAGTATGTTCTTTCTACATCACTGTTTTTAAAGTGGGAGTACTAATTCCATGGGTTGTGTGTGCATTTTATTAAAAAAAAACTCTCACAGCAGTGTCACTATATTTAATTGGTTTAGTTTAGTCCTCTGAATTTAAGATCAGCAGACTCTTCAGACTCCTTTAAAGCTCAGTTAAAACTTACCTTTTTAAATCTGCATTTGTTTAAATTTGCTCCGTTAATTTTTATTTTATTTTATTTTATTTTA